TTGCCCAGCATGCCGAGCTTGCGCAGCTCGTGGCGCGCAGCGCGCTGGGGCGCGAGTCCGTCTCGTCGTCCTGCCAGGTGAGGTTGCTGACGAGGTGGCAGAGCGCAACGCGGACCTCCTTGTCCTTGGATCCAAAATGGGCAGCAAGTAGCTTGAGGAGGTCAGTCTGGGCGATGACGAGCTGGCGGTGGCGCGGGGTGCTGGCGGCCATGTGCACGAGGATGAAGACAACGGCCTCGACAATCTTGGGCTGCGGGTAGAGGACGCGAGCGGCTTCGTTGGTGGTGACTGGCGAGCCGTTGCGGCGATGGGCCGCTGGGTGAAGAACCTTGGCCTGCAGCTTTTTGGCGAGTATGTCGAAGAAGCGATCCTGGCCGAGTTCGGTGAACAAGTGCTCAATCATGTCGGTGGATTCGGTGGCCGGATCCGATGAGGCAGGGGCTGCGGTGGCGCCGATGAGATTTCGGATGAAGTCGAGGCCTTGCTCCTGGATGGCAAGATCGTCGTTCCGTGCACGGCGCTGAGGGTTCAGCTCGGCGTCGCGGAGTATTGCTTTCTTGGTTTCAGCATGGACGGCCCAGGCGGCTGGTCGGCCGTGTGTGTCACGAGGAAGCCCCGTGGTGCCGTAGATAGACTTGGAGGGACCATCGTGGCGGTCCATCTCTACATCTCCGTCAAGGTCGTCGCCACTGTCGACCTCACCCTGCGTGTCGGTCTTGGCGCGGGCGGACCACAGGGCGTCGTCTTCCGTGTCATCGCAGATAAGGCGGACAAGCCATCCTGGCTCGAGCTGCTCAAGACATACCTTCTTGACCTCGGGGCCGGCCGCATGAACAAAGTGCTTCAGTGCCCACAAAGCATTGAGTCGTAATGCCGCTGTCTGCGAATGCGCATGCTCACAAAGGATCTTCATCACGCCCCTTTCTGCAAGCATCTAAGTATGTGTCAGTAGGTACTCATGTGAGCGCGTCGTACTGGAAAAGCTCACCTCACGCATGGGGCTGACCTCAGTGACCAAATTGCACATGGCTGCTGTAGCTGCAATCTGGACATCGACGTCGGGGTGTTTCAGATAACGGAATATCGGTAACGATACGCCATGATCCACAAGTGAGGTCCGCAAGATGCTGACAGAACGCGAGTGCATGCGAACAGCGTGACAGGCGGCAATGATGACGCCCAACGTGTTGCTCCCATATCCAGAGGTTGTAGTGTCCGGGACGGGCCCGTCGGCTTCATCGGGCTTGACACGGTCCCGGGGGTTGGAAGGCTTGACGGGCGCTGTGGAGAGAGATTGGACGATCAAGGGAATGATGTCTGCGTCAACGAATGCTTTGCGATACTCGTCTCTACCCGCCGCCAGAGCGCCTATGGCCTTGAGAACGGTCTCGCGCATCCTGATACGGTGTGCTAGCAGCGGAGGCTGGCCTTCGGCGCCGAGCCGGCATGAAGGTGAGCTGCTCTCTACGTCCATACCTGTATCGGGGTTTGGAGACCATGGCCGCGCGAACGCCGTGGGCGGCACCGCTTCGTAGGCATCCTTCATCAACCGGCTCAGAATCTTGACTGCGCCACAATCAAATGCCGCCTTTTGGAGTTGCTCACTGTCTGTAATGAGACGAGAGAGGACAGCTGGAGCTCGTTCGCGGATGGCCCATGACAGCGGGGCGGATGCATCGACCAGCTGGGATGTGCTGCAGGCCAGGTCGATGGCCAAGCTTGCCCGTTCATAGTGATGGAGCATCTCGCACAGGAGAGGCACGACGAGTAGACCGATGCTTGGCTCTCTGAAGGACCGCTTTCCAAGTCCTGACCTCACCAGACATGTCAGTAGACTGGTTGCCATTAGCCGCTCTAGGTCGCTTTGATTTCTGGATAAGGCGATGAGCCATGGAATGAGAGGGCTTTCGAGGTCTTCCGAATCGGACGAAGGACCATGACGAGAGCTGTTGGTTATAGGCAAGCCATCACTGAATTTGCTCGACGCGAACCGAGAAAATGGCACGGCGCCCTCCCTAGACTCAGGCGAACCAAGAGGAGGAAAAGTCCCCTGTGGGCTCCCTCGCTGCTGATGGTGTGGAACTGGTGGGAGCAGAGTATCCATAGCACCAATTTGCTTCAAGTCGCTAGCTTGGAGAGTGAGCCAGGGACGAGCTGTAAGTGGTGATGGTGAAAATTGAAGATTGGGAAAGACAGCAAGAACGGGCGGCGAGCACAGCAACCTGCACGCCCTATATCGCGAATCCGAGACGATAGTCGTCAATGCTTCAAGAGTGGATGCAAGACTAGATCCAGAGGGCGCCGGTTGGGGAATATATTCGGCTCTCCCATCCAACGATTCTGCTCCTGGTATCACGTAACCATGAGCTACAGCGAAGCTGGCCAGCTCTTTGGCGAGCAGGTCCAGAACAGGCGAATCAGCCAGTGCTAGAGCGTGCTGTTCATCCTGGCAAAGGCGGCTGATCAAGGTGGTCACCAATGACACCGGCTGCTGTTTGACATTTAACCTCCATTGACCCGCCTGTGCCAGAATATTTGCCAGTGTTTCAATGCTTTCCGGAGCAAATATGGCGTTTGCCAGTGTACACAGCTCTGCAGGCGTAGAAACGCAAAGCGAGGCAGCTTCAGTCATGTTCACCAAGGCTCTCAGTGCTGTCGCAACCACCAGCGGCGGGTTGGTGTTGGGGCATGTGTTGGCCAGCAGGGCGGGCAGGGCGTCGGCAGCAAGAAGGGGTTCGATGTATGATGGGCCGCCTGCTAACTGTCAGCAAGCTAACTTCGTCTTCTCGTCCAAGTCAATGCCCATACCATTGGCAAAGCTGGAGAGCACTTGTAATGCCTGTAGCCTTACGTTCTCCTCCTCTTCTAATGCCAACGAGCTGGCGGGAGGTTGTGGACGCGCGCCATTGGCCTTGTTTGGCAGTCTGCTGGACTGTAGTATACTGACGATCGGGTCAAGGGCGCCGAGCGCCACCCATGTTTCCTTCTTCCGAGTATGGCCTACGATGTCGTTTTTCAGTGAACGGAGCGCGTTCGTCTGCTCGGCGTAGGATCTTGCATTGTGGATGTAGGCGAGAAGAGGGGGATCCGAGTCGCGTGCCATGGCAGGCCCTTGGTCCGTTGATTGCTGTAGAGACGTCCTTTACGTTGACAGACGCGTCACACTACCTGCATATAGTATCTTCAAACTGTGGTGTTGTCGTGCTGTCGACTAGTAAGTGTCGGGAATGGGTTTTGGGCTGCTTCGCAAAACAGCTGAAACCAAGCTGTATAATGCTGGTGCTCGATGTTTTACAAATGTCGCTGCTACGTCGTGCCAGATCAGGGATTGTGGAAAAATATGTGCGAGTTGTCGCGTTCGATATAGTCGCTCGATGTGATGGAAGAAAAGTCGATGGTGGCGGTCGCACCTGGTTGGGTACGTTGAGTTGTATCTCAGTGACGCAAGGTCGATGGGTGCAGTCGCAACTCAAACTGACTTTAATCCTGGACCACCCCCACCGGAACTGAACGGCTGCGGCCCACTCCATGTTGCCCCCAAGAACCCCAGGTTTCGTGCTAATAACTCTGGGATTACACAACCCTCCCTACCGACGTCTTCAACGTAGCGATGACAATACCCTCCTTGGCCTGAACGCGCAAGAAAATCCATTCAAGTCTTGAAGGGAGCAATCGGAGATTTTAAGAAAGCTGTACGAATTGAACCCTGTTACATACTGAACACGAGAGCCCTAATGAGGCATCATATCGGACAACACACAGGATGCCTATACTTCAGAGGAACTCTTCGCGAACAGTAGTGCCTGAAAAAAAAACTTCCATACGTTACACAATGTTACGGTAAACCGAATATAATCATGAGCCTAGCAAGTGATGCCTTTGACCGAATATCCATTAGAAGGTCGGTGTCTTGACCTATACAATTACACAACAAACACCGACATGAGAACGTCCCGGGTAGCTCAATTGGTTAGAGCTTTGGACTTTTAAGCATTAGCATAACAATCCAAGGGCTGTGGGTTCGAGTCCCACCTCGGGAGTCCTTTTTGCTCGAGCCGACTGACGAGAGACTGGGTTTGTTCCCTTTCGCTTTCACCCTTTTTGACCATGATTTGTTTGCTTCCACCCAGACATCGTGTAAGGGGTCCGCTATGCACACCGTGGTAGGCATGTTTACTGCCCCTCCAGCCTTGATTTGCAGCCAGTTTTTATTTTCTTACGTGGGGTGCGATGGCTTGCCGGAATAGCCGCATCGTCATTGTCAAGAGTGGGTGAGCGAGTCGGCGCCTCCGATACCTGTAGCGTGCCCAGTAGCAGCAGGGTTTCCAAGTGTCACTGATTGAACGTTAGGCAGAACTGGTGTCGGTTCCGGTTCCTCCCACAACTTGGCAATCTATCTGTATGTCTAGCCCAACGAGACAATGTGTCGAGCAAGGGACGAAGATTGGCGGCCCGTCTCAAATGCACATTGAAATGGCCGCCGACCATTCCAAAGGAAATCCGAGATCTCGAGATGTCAACTTGGGGTACATAATCCTAGCCTGCTTGTCGCTCAGTCGGTTCTAGCGTGCTGTCCCTGTTCGTCCAGTACCATCGCCGCATTGTGCCACGAGCCTGGCCTGTCTGGCAGGTCATCCGCCATGCCAAATTTCCGTGGTGCGTGCCGTGTGGGTTGACACCATCAAACCATGTGGAGTGGGGCGAATGGGGTGGCGGCAGACCACCCCAGGCCCGCCGCGACCGCAAGTCAGTGGAGGGGCAGGCACGCAAGGACGCTGAAAGTTCGCAAATCCGACCTGGATCCCGCCCAGTGGGAATCTGGCACCCGCCGATCGATGCTCTTCGGTCTTGCCCTGCACTGCTTTGCTCGTTTCCATCCGGGGCACTGTCCGATGCAAGCACCTCTAGTTCATGCCCCTCACCTCCAGACTTTTCGCTTCTTTTCGATCTGAACAAGGCGCCTCTCGTCGACGGGAGCACCCCACGATGAACCGGCGAACATGTTGACAACATCTCCAAGGATTCACAGCTCCGCCAATGCCTCACCTAGCAGTTTCCACTATGCTCCCACCCGCTCCTTGCCTCAGTCTCCCTCCTCCCGGCTATCGGCCTCCCTGACGCGACGACATTCTCGATCCCATTCATCAACAGAGTCTTTGTCCTCCACTTCGCCCACGCAACAGCAACAGCAACAACAGCAGTTACCGAAACATAGCCAGACACAGCCGCAGGCACAATCCCCTCACTCGCAGCCCAGGCGGTATGTTGCGGTCGACGCAGGACGCAATACTCTCCGATGGAAGTCTCCTCAGTCATTGCCGTCCAGGCACGGGCGACGACACAACTCCGCCCGTCAACACACCCATACCTTCCTCGCAGACCTCTGCGACTCAGCAGCCCGTACCGACAGTAGCCTTAACATCGGCAGCACGGACCCAACAGCCCATACTCAACGAGCCCGCATCACAGACGACTGCACTGCGGCAAGCCAGCGACAATACGCTGTCTCCAGGAAAGCGTCGCAAGTCGCAAGACCATGGCGCTCACGCGCAGACCGATCTTTCCATCATCGCTGACGCCGAGGCCGCCAACGCACCTAAGAGGCAGAGGCCGGCACCGGCGCCCCAGAAAGTCCTGCCTCTACGATACGAACTCGGCACGACCGAAGACATGGTGGTTCTGATCGCCCACATGCTCTCCGAGCTGATCGAGACCAATGATGCACTTGCTCTACAGTCTGGGAATCTGACTAGGTTTCATTCCAGGTAAGTCGACCTATGCGCGATTACTTTGATTCCGAGTTGCGCACTCACACCTGTTGGCGCACAGAACCGCGCCGAGCATATCCGTCCTTGAATACCTTAACCGGCTAGCCAAGCATGCGACATTGACGCCGCCGCTCCTACTGTCCATGGTCTACTACATTGATCGCCTCTGCGCCCTCTACCCCGAATTCACCATCAACACTCTAACGGTGCACCGCTTCCTCATCACTGCTGCTACCGTGGCCGCCAAAGGTCTGTCCGACTCGTTCTGGAATAACACTACATATGCGCGCGTGGGCGGTGTCAAGGTCGCCGAGCTCAAGCTCCTCGAGCTCGAGTTTCTATACCGCGTCGACTGGAAGATCGTACCGAACCCGGAGGTACTGGTGGCGTATTATCGCGGCCTCGTCGAGCGATGTCCAGGTTACGCTCTTGAAGGAGACGACCAAGTCGGTGCAAACACTGATGACGGTCCAAGTAAGGAAGGGGACGACTCTAGTGACATCTCGGACGATACCGACGAGGAGGAGAATAACGGGTCGCCGGGGGAGGATACGCCGGCAGACGGACCTCCTCAGCGCAATAATGCATGATCAGCCTTCACGCTCTACTTTCCATAAATGTTTCTTTTTTTGTCTTCCGCGCGCTGGCTTCGCTCAGCGCGCATGGGGGCGTACATAGTAGGGGCATTGGGGCATCATTGCTTTTGGTTGAGGTTTTCAAGCAACGTCGGCGTTTGGGGATGCCATACTGTCAGCATGAATTTATCTTTGTACGACGAGAGCATGCAAGGCACCCGACCTGTAGGCTGGCCAATCTGCTGTGATTCCGTATGTCTGACTGTCGCATACAATAGGTCTTCGTCCACAATCATTGCTAAGTTGTTTCTTGGGGTTAGCGCACTCGTTCCATGCCTTCAGATAATTGACACAGCGGGAGCGAGAGCACAAATGCCGTCAGAGGTGGTCCTGGTCCTCATGTCTGGCATATTTGATGTCACGAAAAGGGGACTTTCAGCATGCCATTCATGTTTGGGCAGGTGCGTAGTGGCGGCACCTGCCTTGCCTTGTCTTGCCTAGGTATCCTCCTTCCACAGCTTCTGCAGATCAAACCCAACAAAAGCCATTTTCTGTGACTCTGTTGTATGTACACATGTATGCTCACAACTTTTATCAAGGTACACCCTTCGTCAAGCAAGCTGGCTCGGCGGATCAGACCCTGAACCCCACGTCACTACCTTGGCCCGAGAGACAAGGTCGTAGCAAGGAAATTACCAAGGATGCCGCCGAGGAAGAAAGCAACCGCTACGGGTCAGTTGTGATTCGACGCTCGTCCGTACGATGAGTCGATCCTGATTGAGCCAGCAGCCAAAAGGGGTGCCCACTTGGAAACACTACCTGATAACAATCGAGCTCGCACCTTGGCACGGGCAACGCTTACAGATGTATCAAAGGGAACGATTGATTCACAGGCGTACACGCTCACGAAACCCCACGATATTGACGAAGAGCTTCTCGCGGATGAGAAAAGTCGTCCAACAAGAGGGTACAAAGCTGTAGCTAGGTCCTGGCGCGAGGATCATGATGGCCCTTCTAGCTCAAAGTCAGTCAACCACGTGTCCGCACGAGGAGGTATGCGATTGATCACATCTTTAGCCCCCAACTATCTCCGGGCTTTCAGGAGAAAGGATCCTGGTCTGCCGATGTGCAACAGTGCACAACGACCATCTTCGAGGAGACACAGGAGGCCGTTGGCAAGCGGAAACAGCGGAGGTGGGCACCTTCGCACACATTATTGCCGCTCTATATCTGCTGATACATGGTAGCACGGAACAAGAGGGAAAGGTTCTGGCTCTGCTGAGCCAGACCTATCCATCTTCAAAACCCCACCAGTCTTCAGTCGGAGATGGGAGGGCGAAGCCGGAGCTCTACACCATCGGCTCTCGGGTTATGCAACGATGTCATCAACTTCTGGAGCTCTACCGTGAGTTCAACACGCAACTAGCGGATGACAGTAACAATGTAGACGACCCCGAATGGCTGCACGATGCCGAGCGCATGTCAGAAATGCTCGAACGGGGTAATCAGTTTGGCAAAGAATTGGTGGACACAATGGTGCAGCCTGTAAAGCAGCCACGCTTGCCAATGATAGACGCCGAAAACGCCAAAGACACAGATTTGATGGCAATCGAGATGTTCGATGGCGCGGAGATGCTGTTGGACGACACTTGGGGACGCACTGTCAGGATCCATCTGGATGCATTTGAGACTCTTCTTGGTAAAGAGGCCGATCATTTATGAGCAGGACGCGCACAGCTCCAGGTGTGAAAAAGGAACTTCCATAAATTGAATGGGTCGTAAAGATGAATAACAAATAGTCTGCTCCCTTCATGTAATTTGCGACCTGTTTGATGACCCGGTCGAGGTTAGAGCTCACTGCAAAGAGTGTAAGTCAGGGTTGGGGTATTGCCAAGTCCTTTCGGTGAAACCCTTGGTGCCCCTCCTCTTGACCGAGGGCCGACCCACTCTATTTTCTCGCCCGTATTCCACAGGCTCGGGGCAAGTTCTGACTCGCTAGGCCTAATGGGAACTAGTGTGTCGCTTATCCCACAAACCGCCTCAATTCGATTTTCCTCACCTTACCTGTGTGCGAACTTTCTCTCCCGGTCCCTCCTGTCCAAATTTTCGACGACCATCACGACAACACCCTCTCCGCGGCCGGATTTGACGTGAAAAGCTGGTTTGTTCAGTCCTTCAAGCACCCTTTGTGGTATTCGCCTGCCACTCCGAAACTCGCGGCTGACCTTTGTACTCGAATAGCCAAAATGGGTGCCCTTAAGTACGTCGAGGAGCTTCAGAAGAAGAAGCAGAGCGATGTTATGCTCTTCCTTCTCCGCGTTCGCTGCTGGGAGGTACGATGAAACCCGAATACTCTACAAGGCTGTGGGCGGGAACAATCTTCTAGCTGGTCTGTCGTCGAGAGAAATATCTTCTCTCCATCGGCGGACCAGGAATTTTGGGCGTTCCCGTCTTTGCTATACACTCGTTGAACATTTGCTGAGAGTGCATCAATATAGCTCCGTCAACTGAACGTTATTCACCGCGCCTCGCGCCCCTCGCGCCCCGACAAGGCCCGCCGCCTCGGATACAAGGCCAAGCAGGGCTATGTCATCTACCGCGTCCGCGTCCGCCGTGGTGGTCGCAAGAAGCCCGCCAAGAAGGGTGCCACCTTCGGTACGCTACCTCAGATGTTAGGAGATATTGGGATGGCAGATGGCTAATACATAATGCAGGCAAGCCCACCAACCAGGGTATCAACCAGCTGAAGTACCAGCGCTCGCTCAAGTCGACCGCTGAGTCCGTGTCGGCCGGCCGCTGCGCCAACTTGCGCGTCCTCAACTCCTACTGGATTAACCAGGACTCGACCTACAAGTACTACGAGGTCATCCTCGTTGACCCCCAGCACAAGGCCATCCGTATCGACCCCCGCATCAACTGGATCGTCGCCCCCGTCCACAAGCACCGCGAGGAGCGTGGCCTCACCGCCACCGGCAAGAAGTCCCGTGGTCTCAACAAGGGCCACCGCTACAACAAGACCAAGGCTGGCCGCAGAAAGACTTGGCTCCGCCACAACACCCTCTCCCTGTGGCGCTACCGGTAAGCTCGCAGCCGCGGCTGCTAGCGAAAAGGTTGTTTCCGGTGATGGAAAAGGCTGTGTGCCGGTTCATGAGGATGGCCATGGTGTTTACCGCGCCTGGATGATGGTACTACGACATTGGCTCCTGCTTCTGGCCCTTGATATCATGCGATGGAGTGGCCCGGCTAGGCCAGGAATTCAGATACTCGGAAAATGAGATCCCATTCTGAGGCGTTTATTGGCTTCGGTTGTTTTAAATCTGTCGTGATGTTGGTGACCGTGATGGTGGGCCCGCATGTTTATTTGGTCAAGGCTAAGTCTACTCAAATGACGTTGACTGCGTTGAAGAAAAAACAGCTCGCCGTCGAGGCGCTACTCCCACAATCCATGGCTGAGTAGATGCGTCAAAATAGTTGCAGCGTATTCCAACAATAGCAGTGTACCACGGCTACTGAGCCACACGGAGCCGATAACAGATCCATTTATAAATTTGCAAGGCTCGAGCCCCTTGAAATCTCAAGTGCCGCCTCGAAGCGCCAGCTGTTTAGCGCCCTGAGAAGAGGATCTCATGATCTCGTCAAGAATATTTCACAGCAAAATGAGCAGTGTTTATGCATGACCATGCTCCAGGACAAGTGCCCGTATGTCATTAAATCTTCGACCCGCCATCTGATCCTGATTTTTGGTCAAGCGTCATTCTTCGGTCATCTGTCCCAGGTTGTCGCACATGTTGAGGCCAGAACAGACAAGGGTGGCAAGCCTCTGCACCATTGCTGAGCTGCACTTCGGTTCCCGATGCGTGTCATTCTTTGGCACACCTCTCATTAAATTCCGAGGCCTTATGGTGGACGTGAATTATCGCCTGCCATGCTTCCATCATCAGAAGGTCGGAAATATCTACTGCATGATGTGGTTGAGGTCGGGTTTTTGGCCGGCGGTTGCGGTCGTTGGGCTAAAGCCGGACCTGAAACGAGATACATGGGGCTGACATCCAATCACAACCGCGCAACCGCTCAATGTGAGTCTTCTTTCGACTTCGTCCCACGTATCCCTTGTCGATCCATTTTGCCCAGGGCTTCAATCTGTCGAAGACGGGCCAGGTACCGATAACTCGATTGGTTGACAGCTCTGCGTGCTCTTCTCAGCTTCTCGTGGCTTTTGACCATACCTTGCTGCCTTTGAGCATGGGAATAACTTGCCGTCGAGTCGAGATCGGTTCCTCTGCCTCACAGCACGCGCCGACATCGACCCTGCCCGGACTCCGAATGCCTGGGAGTGACTCAAGAAGAAGCATTGAACTTGCGAGCTGCCGCTCAAGCGGCCTCTAGAACGCACCGGACAGGGAGTGCAGCGAGCTTGACCCGGACGAGACCCCTGAGGCTTCTGGCGACAATTGTTTCGCGCCGCCGAATTGATTGGACGTGACGCGCTGAAAACTACTTGTTCTTCTACCTAGATGTCTCGATTGCAGAGCCTGGTCCCGAATGAAACTGCGTCCTGTACAATAGGCATGAACGCTATTAAAGGCAGCGACTCCCTTTGTCTCCTCTTGTGCCTACCATCACGAAAATTCCTTCCAACTGCCTTGCAAAGAGAGGTTTTTGGTTTATTCACGACCTGAACAATGCACTGATCTACGACAATCTTTCCTTCGACCTCTATTTCCTTATTGTACAGCTGACCCATAACCTTCTTTGAGATTACCATTGGACTGGCTTCCAATCCTCTCTCTACTCTGAATTTCCATAACCTTCACCCTGGCTTCCAAAACGTTCACTATCATTTCAATTACCATCGATCAACCAAGGGCTGCAGTACAGAAAATCATACCGAAGCATATCATCGCCCTCCAAACCATCTCTTAGGTGACTCGTCTGCAATATCGTAAGGTACCTTGACTCCAGCGCTGCATGGCCCGACTGACATGCCGAAGACCGCTACATCCTACCAGACCTTCTAAGATGTTTAATCTTTCCGAGAACTCCCGTCTGCGTGGCTCAGGCCACCTGATTCTCAATGTCTTCCGCGCCTTCAACATTATAGGTCTGCTCGCCGTTGCTGTCGCGAGTTGGGTCCTCATTGTCATGTCTGGTCTGACGGGCAATTTCTTCTTCTTCGAGGCTATCTCCCATGCCTTCACCTCTGCCACCGCAGCTCTCCTAATCTGCTCGGAGCTGAACCTCTTCAAGCGTTACTTTGCCACACGCTGGCCCATTCTCTCCCCCTACCACGGTCTGACCTGGCTCGGCATTGCCATGGTGGTGATGGGGTGCCACATTCTGGGGAACCTCAACCGTCGTTCTGTCACCTCTAAGAACATGGGCCCCCATCTCTGGCGCCTCGTTCTTGCGGCCGGCATTCTCTCCATTACTTTCGGCTTCTTTAACATTGTCTCTTCTCTTGTCTTCCGCGACTCGGACAACGGCATCACCGCCCGCAACATCCGCAGCGACGGCGCCATCGCGACCTCGTCCACAAAAAACTCCTTCACCGACGCCTATTCTACGCGGTCCAACTCAGTTCGCAACGAAAAGTCCTTCCGTCGGCTCACGCAGAAGATCGCTCCATGGGCTGCCAGCGGCAAGCTCAAGATCAGCAAGCCCATCCGCGTCGCGGATGATGACGTCGAGGCGAAGGGTCACGACGACCAGCATAGCAACCCCTATTCTGAGGACAGGTCGAGCCCCATCATGCCCGACGTTGCACGTCCGCCGACAGCGCTTCATCCCATCAACACTCGCTTCACGAGTTACAGCGAGGCGAGCCACATGAACCGCTTCTAGACGAATGGCCGGGGGAGAAAAAGTGGATGGAGGCTGGTGAGACGGCGTTCAGGACATTAGCTTTCTTTGATAGCGTTATACTTTTTTACAGAATACCCAGATGGCATGGGGTGTGCTTAATTCCGCTGCTCTTGAGAATAGTAACGGCGCCGCAAATCAACTTGATTTAGAATTCAGTCATTCTCTTTTGGTTTGTGCGCTGAGCTTGAGGGTGACCAGTCTCGATGGGTGTCCTACCAAGCCTTTGCAGTTCCCATGGCCAAGTGGTGTGCGGTGTTGAAAGAAAGTGGTGTTCTAGTGTTGAAGCTCTGACACTCGAAGGCGTACAAGCTCAGATACAGGGTGGCAGCTTGTCAAGCGCTGCATAGCGAAGGCCTATATTTCGCCAGATGTGATGAGTATAGAAGCACGGTGCTTAGATTTTAGCAAGAAATATACACACTGTATGCACCATGTCTATGGCCGCTCACGTGATGTGCGTAGGCAAAGCAAGTCGACAACAGGGCGGATCAAGTTAGCGTCACCTGCTCCGTCTGTGTCTGCGAATGACTGATCAGGTAGCTGTCGCCAGGTACTCTAACTTCTTGCGACGTCTGCCTCCACTTCCATTCTTCCAACCTCGACAGCTAACCCAACAGCATCCTTTCATTTTCACTCGCCTCAAGCACCGATGCGGCTGTAGCTGTAATCGTGTTCGCTGTTTTGTAATCGCGGCGCTCCTATCATTGAGCCATTGCTTTTCGGCAGGCATCCGACATCGACTTCCGATCCCGACACGATCTGCCACTCACGCGACCCTTGGTTGCGCCTTTCGACTCGAAGCCAAACAACTCTGTCATCTTGACAACCTTTCCGAACAAACAGCCGCAGGGTGATTCCCTGTCGGCATCTTGTTGATCTGTGTGGACTGGTTGGGCTTCTGCGGTGGTAATTCGATCAGGAGGATCTGGTTGGACGCAAGAATTGAAGCAAGCAAGCAAGACTCTGCGCCCTGTTCCACGTTCTCGTCCCCAATAAGGCTGCTCATTACTGTGCTGCTAGAGGGCGCCATCGCGCGTTCTTTCTCTTCCATACAAAATAGGCTGGAGATCTTCCTTCCTGCCAGTGTTTTCGGTGATCACAGTTTACGTGTTTTCTGGCTCGCCCGGTGGCAGGATTCGTTGCCAACTGGCCAACGGCCATTTTGCGTATCCTGGGCAAGCAGCGAGTTGCAACATTGCAAGCATCACTTCTGATTCTTGGAGAGCGTGTTTCCGTGCTCGTCGCCATGTCCCACAACGAACAGTCGGGCGCCGACGTGGCAGAGGACTACAAGCAGGCTTTGGAGGATCTGAACTCAACCAACAGGGCCGACATCAGCACGTTGACGACTATTGCACGAGAGAATACCGAGCACGCCCAAATCATCACAGATATTCTTCAGAGGCATATCATGAAAGTAAGCCACAAGCCATACCTTGCGGAATTGCGCAGACTTTTGCGCTTCAGTCTTTGGTATACTTGGCCTTGAACTTACAAATGCTGACATGATCCGCAGGCACCGGCGCACAAGAAGCTGCCTGCTATATATGTTCTCGACTCGATCGTAAAAAACGTCGGCACACCCTACACTCTATTTTTTGGAGCTCAGCTTTTCCAGACCTTTATGGAGGCCTATGCTGCCGTGGACGGCCATGTCCGTCGCAAGATGGAGGAGACGCTGCAGACGTGGAAGCAACCTGTGCCTCAGTCGCTCGACGACAGGCCTGTGTTCCCGCCAGAAGTCACGAAGCCGATTGAGGAATCGTTGAACAAAGCGCGGAATTCAGCTTTGGCTCTCCAGGCGCAAGGTCGTGGACACCCCGTGGGTAGAGCCCGTGGCGCAGGAATTCATAGGGCAACGCCGACACCACCCGGGATGAGGCCAGGATCGAGCCAACCTGGATATCCTGGCCCGCCACCTCATGCACAGCAGCAACAGCTCAACGGTAGCCGGCCACCTAGCGTTCAACAACAGCAGGCACCGGCACCCTATCCCGTAAGTCATCATGTGAACCAGAATACCGCGCCATTTTTGCTGACCGCTCAACGCGCAGCCACCACAGGCATATGGCGGCCTCCAGCCTACTGCTGCTGTCCCTACACCGTTTCAGGCGTCGCCGTCGCAGCATCATTCCGTGAACATTGCCGTGTTGAAACATGACATCCAGGAGCTCATCACCGCCTCCACGTTGGAAGCGGCGCAGTATCCGCACGATGGGGTTATTAAGGCGAGGCTGCAGGGGTTGCATGATTTACAAAGGTTGCTTCAAACCCAGGACATGCCGCAGGATCATTTGATCCTCATTAAAAATCAAGTAGCCGATCTCGCTTTAAAAGTGAGGCCACAGTCGGTCCCAAGCTCTGCCCCTATTGCTGCTGCTACGCCCGTATCATATCACCCACCGCCGCCTGCACCCGTGGCGCATATAGCGCCGCAGCCAGCTTCAGTCACACTTGATTCTCTGCTTGGCCAGGGCGCGCTGGCGAGTCTTTTGGCTCGGCAGTCTGCGACGCCGCAGGCGCAAACGCCGGCGCCAGCTCCGCCGCCTTACGCCGGCATGCCGATTCGATCGCCTCAGCCGCCCGTGGCCGAGCCGCAACGACAGTCTAGCGCGGCACCGACCCCGGATCCGATGGCGTTGCTCCGCCGGTCTGCGCATGGCCGGCCTCCTGGGCGGCAAGCCTACAACTACACCGCCGGTACCGACACCAATACCAACCTGCCCCACCCTGGGCTGTCTCTGGCATCGCTCGGAGGTGTCCCCTCCTCCACCCCCACCCGGAGGGGTACCGCCGCCAGGGGCAGGTATCATACCTCCAAACATCGCGAGTTTGCTTAGCGGCAGTAACCTGCCGCTCTCCGTGCGTATGATGGACCAAATACAGCTTAATTCAACGTCACTAAAGCAAGAGTACGTCGTATCCTTAACATCATCACGCTCGAGATCCCAAGGCTGACCTCCGGTTCAGGTTTCGCGCTCATCTACTTCCGTCCCTTTTTGATGCTCTCGGCCCGCAGTGCACGCAGTGCGGTCGACGGTTCACGAAGGACGAGGACGGGCGCAAGAAGAAGACGGCGCACATGGACTGGCACTTTCAGGTCCACCACCGCCTAGCGGAAGCAGAGCGCCGCGGGCAGCATCGCAGTTGGTACGTAGACCACTCGGACTGGGTGGCTTCGCGCGAGGTTGTGGACGCCGACCATGCCAAGGAGGCAGCCGAGGCGGCGGCACGACAAGACAGCGGGGCCCACGGTAGCGGCGGTGCCGACGGGAAGGGCTCGTCGCAGGTTCCGTACATTGCGGTGCCTGATGCCTCGGCGGGAGTCAACACGACGTGCCCGATCTGCCAGGAGGAATTCGAGAATAAGTGGCTCGACACGGCGCAGGAGTGGGTTTGGCTGGATGCCAAGCTCGTGGGGAACAGGGCTTATCATGCGAGCTGCCATGCTGAAGCGACAATGGTGCGGGACGCCACGCCGGCGAGGGGGACGCCGGAGCCTGTCTTAGGGAAGCGCAAGGCGGAGGTGAGTGGCCTGTCCTGATCTGGGATTCCTGAGGTGGAGAGGCTGATGTTTCTTGACAGGACGAACTAAAGAATGCGAGGCGGCTCAAGATGGAATCTGCATGAGCCAGAGGAAGCCTTGCAGATAATACAAGCGCATCAGCAGACGGATAGACATGACTACAGCACTCTAGCAACGCCTCGTCTTCAGATATCGAAGGAAATGACTTGCAAATATTCAGGAAAGAAAAGAATCCTTTCCAGACTAGCATGGTTGAGTGGTGTGCGGAGTCCGAGGCAGCCTGCAATTCGCACAGGACACTGAGGAACAGACCTTCAGTGACAAAATACGACTTGGTCATCGTGGGTGCATCGTGAAGCAATTTCAGGAGGTGTCAAGGCGTTCACATGGGTGATTTCGTTCCAGAACGTTGCACGTGCCAGGCCAGGCCCAGCGCCGGAGTCGGATAGCGGAGAGCGCGTTTGGAGGTGGTCTGCCGCACGTCGGATCATGTAGGGGAGAGATGGTTGGCAGCCGAGAAGCGATCGGCAACGGAGTCGGGGGTGGGATTGGCTCAAGATCATGGGTTGGCGACCGCCACGATGGGGAGAGCGGCATCTGTAATAGTCCTTGTGGCTCGAAAATATACAAGGCAGGGTCTCGATAGGGTCCAAGGCGAAACAGACGGTGGTTCGAAGCCGATAGCCGATTCTAAATTGAACCCACGAATTTCATGCCCGTCTTGCTGTGTTCTTCTTCACGTGAGGCTCTGGAGCAGTACTCGGTTCACGCAGCGGCATTGTAGCCATATTTTCCGACTTGCCTTTGTCCCACCGCGCCCGTCGGAGCCATTGATCAGACTTTTCCCACTTTTCGATGACTCGAAGGTTCCGTTCAGCGCTCGGAGGCGATGAAGGGCAGGTAAAGATCATCAGTTCGACAACGTCAGCGGGGCTCAGCATCCCCTCTTTTCCTTGGGGCCGAGTACGGGGCATGGGACAAGTGTTCGGCTCTGACGACAGAGGGGGGCTAAGAGCCTAGAAGCGGAATCCCCACAGGAGCTTTCGCGTCTGTGGTGCCCTGTCTGCCGTCGCCTTGGTTGTACGCTAGGGAGTAGGCGGTCTCCCCTTGTACGTGTGCTGCAAGCCCGCGTCCAGGAATCGCATTCTTTTTTCGTCTGATGGTCATGACTGGGAACGGTAGATCTCGACCTTCGGATTCAGTGGTACAGAACGGTACGATGGAGTTGTGAAATCTCTGCGCTCTCGCCTGGTCAAATCGGCTACCAGGCATGGGGAAAGGCGGTCAGAAATGGTTGAGGTTGCCGAGAGGGTGCACATCGTGGGATGGCAGGGAGGGGCCTTTGTGTGTGTCTCGTCTCGCCGGAGGTGGGATCAGCGTGGCCAGTACTTTATCTCGTGAGTTCCTTGCTGGAGGGGATGATCCCGTTGAGATGGATTCATGTGACGCGTAGCTGCAGGCGGCGCGGCGTGCAGGCTGGGCATGGAGGG